TGCTGCAAAATTTCATATTTTAATTCATTTAATTTCGCAATTGTTTTGTACGACGTATGCGGCCGAGCGTTGTCGTGGAGAAGTATTGGACCATGCCGATTAATAATTAATGGGCATATAATTTTCAATTTTTCATGTATTAGGTGTTGGAATTAATTCGTAGCGTTTTTTAATGAAAGAATGTTATTTATTTCACATGAGCATTAAAAAATACATTAATGAAAGTACTTCCGTATAATTTTCAATTTTTCATGCATTTCATCAATATACTGGCAGTACTTTTCGGCTATAATTGTCTTCCCAGTTCGAAGGAATGAGTAATGAATTACTCCAGTCACATTCCACCAATTTTATTAAAATTTGTTATTAAAATTTTCCGTGGATGAAGTGATGGCCTTGGAGTATGACAAGCCTCATTCCTATCAAGCCACCGAGCACACCTTTTCCTATTGTCATAAAGAACTCATTTTTCATCACAAGTAATAATCCGATCGAAAAATGGCTCTCGATGAAATCGGGTTAATAATGATGAGCATACGTTCAATCAATCCAGCTTATTTCGCTCCGTTAATTCGTGCAGTATCCATTTATCCATTTTTTTCACCTTACCAATTTCAGAAAGGTATCGCAATATCGTTGTATGGTCAACTTTCATTCTGGTAGCAAGTTCCCTTGTAGATATCGTCGAATTCGTCCAATGCTTTCAGAGCATCATTTTTCACAGACGTTTTGGGTCTTCCACGCGGTTCATTTTGCAGGGAAAAATCACCAGACCGAAATTTTTTAAACCAACGCTGCACTTTTCGATCGTTAACAGTATTCTCCCCAAATGTCTGGTTTATATTGCGTGCAGCTTTTGCAGCATTATTACCAAGTTTATACTCATATAAAAAAATTACGAATATCGGTTGAATTCATATCCTTACGAAATTCAAAACAAATAACAAAATGAAACACTTTTGAGAAAATCTTCTTTGTTGAAATGTGACTCTGGTAATGGACAATACGACTATAAATGAGGTTATGCCAAAAACAAAAGCATAACGAAAACAGGGAGACAAACGTTCATATGTAAAGAAAATCCGACATTTCATATGCACCAACCTAATAATAATCCTGGTAAAAAAAATTTCGCTGAAATTCTATGTTTTGGAACATTTTAGCGAAATTATTGTTGAAATTATACTGAAAGGGAATTTTTCAATTACCATATTGAAAATTCGTTGAATTTGAATGAAAATTTCTCTGAAATTTTATTTAAATTTCTCTAAAATTTTGTTGGAATTTCTCTGACATATTCATTGAAATTTCTCTGAAATTTTGGTGAAAATAAAATTTTCAGCTAAAATTACTAAAAAATTAAACTGAAAATGCTGAAAATTTTGCAGAAAAGTGTTCCAAAACATGAAATAACTTCAGCGAAATTTTTCCACCAAAGAAGAAGAGGTTAAGTAATGATATTTTAAATGTACAAATAAGCTACTTAATTATAATTCTCTTTGTCAAAAATTCTTAGCTTATATATAATAGACCGTTGCAAGACATCTTCATCAAGCAAATCAGAGCGCTCGTTTTCAATACGTTCAGAGTACTAGTACAAGGATGGCTAATCACTGTGGACGTAAATTCTCTCATATAATATGTAGAAAAATAGTTGTATCTGTTAAGGTGCCTTTTCATACGCAGCATGCTGCGGCAACAAAAATGTCACGTAATGCTAATTTTTCATAATTGCTTCTGCTACATTTGCTGTACATGAAAAGGAATAACAGCAACAGCATGTTTTAAAGTTTAACCTCAAATATGTATCTTTTATTTGCTTAGCTCGAAAATTAATATGGAAAACTTAAAAAGCTAAAAAACTTATGATTATATGGCAACTGTTACTGCAATTACAATTTGGACAACTATTATTTCAGATAATTATTTAGAATTTAGAATATCCCCATCACTTTAAATCTTAATAAAAATGTATTGTATGTACTCATAAATGTACTAAACTTTCACATTTTTTTGCAAATATTGCAGACTTTCTCGGCTTCAAATTCTTTGCTGCTCATCGTTCGGTTAAATCAATAAGATGCAGCAAAATGTATTTTGCGTCGGAAGTGCGTCATCTCATGTAAAATTTTTAACCAATAACTACGAATTGCTGCTGCAGCGTGTTGCATATGAAAAGTCAGCTTTAGAGAAGAGAGTGGCGACCGTTACAGCCAGTTAATCAGCAATTAGAAAATTTAAAGGCAAAGAGTAAACGTTTGGTAAGGAAGCTTTTCGAGGAAAGTAGCACCTGTTTGAACAAAAATAATTGTAATATCTCCTTAGTTTCCGGAAGCCAGTTTTGTAAATATTCTGAGATATAGGATACTGGTTCTGACACTTTTACCTGAGCATAGCTGTGCAGTTTATACTCGTATTTAGTAAGTTACATGTTACCTAATGTATATGCTATGCAAGATATTGGAAAAAAAGTTAGTGGAGAATAGAGTCCAGAGAAATATTTTCAGATATGATATAGTCACGGATATCATCGGAATTAAGAATACTCACACATTAGATTTCATTACACAGCAGCTATGCGCTATGACGGTTGCATGTAATTTTCTGCGAGTAAGCAGCGTACAATCCACATTGTATTTTATCGCTGCAGCTACGCTTGGTAGTTACACGTCATTCAATTTTTTTAATCCCAATGATACCTTCTATGACTGTTATCATATCTGAAAATGTTTCTTTCTCTGGATTCTGTTCTCCACTAACATTTTTTTTTTCCATTATCTTGCATAGCATATATGTTAGGTAATATGTAATCCGCTAAATATGATCATAAATTACAAACTGTGCTCAGATGAAAGTGTCAGCATTCCGTATGTCAGAATATTTACAAAATTAGCTTCTGGTGAAACTAAAGAGATATTAGGTTTGTTCGCGTCGTATGCTCCAGCATGCTCCATGTGTTCCTGCTATAGCTCCTACTCACTACAACGAGCGCGTTAGAATGAGTAAATGCTATGGTAGGAGTATTTTAGAGATGTGACGCGAACAAACCTAATATACAAATGGCCTAGCAGGCGCGCCGCGCCCTTCGAGCTTAAATGCTCGCGATGGGAAGCCCCGCTCCTCGCCGCCCGCGCGTTCGATGGGCCGTACTTTTGGCAATAATTGGTCGGGAGGACGTGCATATTCGTCTACCTAAACGTTAATATCTCGTTAATTATTGTGAGCATTACAAAATGATAGAGGACTTTTCTACTCAGTTTAGTCCACTCTACCTGCTCGGAACGAATGGGGCCGGATATTCATGATACCCTGTATATTATAATTATTTTTGTTAAAGCAGGTGCTATTTTCCTCAAAAAGTCTCTCTATCAAACGTTCACTCTCTGCCCTTAAATTTTCTAATTGCTGATTAACTATGGCTGTAACGGTCGCCACTCTCTCCTCTACACGTATTTTAGTAATCAAAATATTAATATTAATAATTAATATTAATATTAATATTAATATTAATATTAATAATTAATATTAATATTAATTTTAATTTCATTTGCACGTTGCAAATTTATAAATGCATGCAAAGCATTATTACAATGCATCTTATTATTACAATGGATCTCAAAATTACACGTAATGTAGTAATTATGCACAAAAATTTTTTATAGTATTAAAAATTTTTTATGCACAATTACATTTTGTACATAATAAAAGTATAGTATATACATAGTATATATATTTGTTTTTTTCCTTAGGATTACACATTATTTACATAACTCTTATACTGCAATAACTTAAACACTAACTTATTCTAACTTAACTTAACCTAATCTACAACTATTCCGCTCTCTCTCTTTCTCCCTCTTCCTCTCTCCCCCCCTCCTCTCTCTCTCCCTACTCGCACTCGCTCGCTCCGCTACCCTTTCTGCCTATTCCCTATGGATTTCCATTTCCGTTTACATTTTTTGCCTTTCCTTTCTCTCTCTCTTTCTCTCTCTCATCCACTCACTCATTCCCTCACATTTCCTCCCTCATTCCCCCCTCCCCTCACTCTCCTCCTCTTCTCCTCCACTATTCTCATTCCTCCCTCCCATGCCCAGGATCCTCTTAAATGCTTCCTGCCAACTATCTTTCTCCTCTTTCCAGCTCCTGCATTCCTCCCAGATATGCTCCCAAGTCTCCCTTTGTTCTCTGCATAACCGACACATCATCCTATTCTCCTCCTCTCAATACCTCCCTTCCATCATTTCCAAGCCTAAACCTTGCTATCCTCTGCCATCTACTTTCCCCCCATCATTCCCTCCTCTTTTATACATCCATACCATCTACTAAATCTCGATTTCCTTATCCGTTCCCATCTTTCTTCTCTGTGCCTGACCTTTTCCCTCTCTTCTAATTCCTCGTACTTTCTGTTTCCCTCCATTCCCTGTCTCTTCCACTCCTGTATCTCCCATCCTCTATCCTTAAAAAACTCTTCCCTCTCCCATTTCTTCCTCCTAGCATTTTTCCCTCTCTTATTTCTTTCCTATATGCCTACGCTATTTCGCTTCCCTTTCCCATATCCAATCTTTCTCCAAAACTCCATGCCCTCCTTTCCACTCTGCTTCTCATACATATATGTGCCCTTTACTATATATTTACTGCAACTATTAAATCCTGTATGACCTTTTATACACAATGCAAAAGATTTAGCTGGTGTATCACATACTAAAGCAAATAATAAAACTTTAATTATGTTTCCATTATGAATATAACCATTATTAATTAAATCTATTAAGTCGTTGACTAAAGGTTGCAGAAAAACATTAGTAGGTTTTTTATGTCCAAAGTATGCACCAATAAGGTATACCGTCATATTTACTGTATTTGAGCATAAAATGGGCCATAAGGATGTTTGTAATGATTTTG